GTGGGGAGTCATCACCCCCCCCCCCCCCCCCCCCCCCCAAATTTTGGTCTCTGTATGGGCGGTGGAAAAAAAATAGTGTTATAAGTTAAAAGAATGACTGGTGTTTCTTCCCATATTGGGTACAAGCCAAGTGCTGGTTTATGGAAGGAAAACAGTTCTTCTCAACCCCTCAAAGAATTACTTTCTTACTGTCTGTGGCAGCTTATATAGCATAAGAAAATACAGCAAGCAGTGGGATGCTCAACTAACACAAGTTAGGGATATTTCTAGCTTTCTAAATAGTCATAAGTAACGTGGCTGTCTGTGCTGTACTTAAAAACCTGTAGGATCTTTGTAAATAGAAATGAAGCAGCTCTGGTGCATGGGGACAGGATAGAATGGGGACAGGATTTTGTGCTTGCTTAAAAATGTATAAAAGCAGTAAGTGATATTCCTTAAATAGTTCATTACTCACTGCATATCCTAGACTTGGCTGAGAATTTTATTGGAGAATTCTCAGAATTTTGCAGAATTCTTGAAGGCTAAGACTCTAGCCTTGTTGCTCAGTTTTGAGGCTCAACCTCCGAACTGAGGTGCGGAGAGCTTTGAGGTACACCCTTTCAGGGAGCTCCGTGAGGTTACATCTAAACTCGTAAATTAAGGCCAGGAAACATTCCTGGGCACTGGAACTCGATTGTCTATACTATTACATTGTTAGAATGGTCTGTGGCATGGTTTTGGTCCAGGCCAAATAGCACTCTTTGAAACAATTCCTGGATACAGTTCAGAAGTTAGCATGAGCCAGGAACCACTCCCAATAGACAGTTTAGATGTGGCCACCCTGACTTGGCGACTCGCATCTTGAAAGTATGGATGTGAGTAATTCCATACCCATTGGCCTTGGAGCCAGAGAACAGTCCAAAGCATGTTTAATTGACTAATATAGAAGTAGCCTTAAAAGGAGCCTTACAGTTCAGGAACCCAGTTTTGTTCCTTTGTTACTTAAAAAACAGATCTTTCAGACGTCTTTTGTTTTTGCGTGACATTTGTACATTTTTCTTTCAGAATGAAGCCTTTCTTTTTTGCAGCCTTTCCTGTGGAAAGGGAATTGTGATTTCAGGAAACTTAGGCATGCGTGCATTGGACTTCAGAATATTTGTTTGATTTTAATTTGGCAAAGATTCAGGAAAACATAGTTAATGCTCTTTGTGAATGTTAAAATACTGTCATCAGAAAATGTTATGTTAAGCTCTTGGTGTTTCTTCAAATAGTTAGATGGGAAGAATTATATAGTTCGGTTTACTACAGCTGTGGCTGACAGAAGAAGTTTTTAGATTAAACTTAAGTTTGAGACTTGTAAGCAGGCTCTATGAGGAGGTGTGTAGCTAATAAAAAGCATGTTTGGGCAAAGGCTTGGAGTTTGAATGGAAGTGACACAAAGCTTGCTTCCTACCCATCTTTTCTTGTTTCTTCTTTGAGGGGTGGGAGGAGGTGGGAGGGAGATGCTGTTTATGATTACCTGTTTTAATTGAAGACTGCATGGTGTATAATTACAAGCTAATAGTATGTCCATCTGAAACAAAACCTAATTGTAGTGAGTAGTTTCTGATCTTTGTAGTTTATCAAATGCATATTTTGTCTTAAATTCATTTGCTGGAGAACAGAGTTTAAATTACGATAAAGCTTTGTGTGACTTTTACTGTCACCTCCCTACTTTTAGAATTATACTACTTAAATGTGAGGTCACTCTTAGAGAACGTAACAAATAACTGTTGCGTTATAGTGAATATTCCGTTTGTTTTTCTACTTTGTAGATGGACCTTGGACTGTTTTTCCTGGTTCCTTGCATTATCAGACTTTGTCTTCCCTGATCACTAGATATGTACTGTTATAGTGGGACACTTGCACTGTATGTGCGTATGCATTAAAGAAATTGCTTCCGTTTTCTTTGTGTGCAAGTGTAGGTAAATGACACCAGAATGTTTGCAATTTTGTAGCCAAAGAAGAGGATGCCAGTTTGACCTGTCTTTCTGGACTGGACTGTGAACTGACATAATGTTGTAGAAATAATGCAAGATGCTTTTCATGTTAGAGTACACTTTTTTTTTTTTTTTTCAAGCTTATAATTGTTTTAGTGTGTTTGCAGTGTCCATTCTTTCTCTTGTAGGCTCCAGTTTTACGTTTATGGGTTTGACATCTTCTCTGTTCTGAGTGGGTTTTGAGCTTTGTGAAAGTAAAGACTTACCTGAAAATAAGAGGATAAATTTACGTGTGTCTGTGCGATGCAAGCTCACCAAAGTCAGGAAATCGAAATTATGGTGGATGGTAGACATGTGCATTTATGGGATCCGCTAAATTTTGAGCGTGGAGGTCTTCCTTTAAGAACCTGTATCTAACACCCAAGCGAGTAGTTCAGTCCTGTATATCACAGAATCACAGAACAATTGAGGTTGAAAGGGACCTTTAAAGATTATCTAGTGCAACCCTCTTGCTCGAGGAGGGTCGCCTAGAGTATATTGCCCAGGACCCTGTCCACATGGCTTTTAAGTATGTCCAAGGATGGAGACTCCACAGCTCTGGGCAGCCTGTTCCAGTGCCTCTGTCACCTTCACAGTAAAGTTTGTCCTTAGATTCAGAGAGAACTTCCTGTTTCAGTTTGTTCCCTTTGCCTCTTGTCCTGCCATTGGGCACCAGGGAAAGGAGTCTGTTCCCATCCTCTTTAAGTGTTCCTGTCAAATATTTAAATGCATTGATAAGATCCCCCCTCAGTCTTCTCTTCTCCAGCCTGAACAGGCCCAGTTCTCTCAGCCTTTCCTCAGAGGAGAGATACTCCAGTCCCCTCATCATCTTTGTAGCCCTCCGCTGGACTCTCTCGTACTGGGGAGCCCAGAACTGGACACAGTACTCCAGAGGTGGCCTCACCAGGGCTGAACAGAGCGGGAGGATCACCTTCCTCGATCTACTGGCAATGTTTTTTCCTAATGCTGCCCAGGATACCATTGGCCTTCTTGGCCACAAGGGCACATTGCTGACTCATAGTCAATTTGGCCCCCAGGACCGTCAGGTCCTTTTCTGCAGAGCTGCTTTCCAGCAGGTCAGCCCTAAGCCTGTACTAGTACATGGGGTAAACAAGCTGTGGGGTGTAATGAGGTCGTGTTTCAGCACTGTAGCAATCAAATTCTAAAAACCTAATTAACTGCCGTTTGCACATACGGACATGGGAGTTGTTCTGTTAATGTAACTGGTTTTTAGAAGAGCTTTTGACCCAATAGTAGAAGATATTCTAAAGATTTTCTGCAGAAATAATTAAAAATCAGAAGTATTGCCAAAAATAGACCTTATTTCCTCTCATCTCATAAGTAGGCAGAAAGATTTATTATTACTGATTTTCCTAATGCAGATTCCAAAGACCTGAGTTAGGTAGCTGTATTGTTATCAGCAAAATGTAGGCCTGGCATTAACAATTCTCCTAGATTTTGGAAAAGATCCTTTCAAAATCCTTTATTTTGAATCCTTGATCTGTTTTGCAAAAGGAGGAGTTGGCTGTTGTAATACAAAAATGTACTATAGTGAGATTTAGTGAACTCCTTAGGAAAGACAAGTTTCTGTGGGATATCCCTCTCTTCTCACTGCTTGCCTGGAAAGTAGAAGCACTCACTGCCTAGAACTTTAACACTTTGTTCAGGTAGGATGTATGTTAAAAGTTTCTTATTTATTTTAGGATTTCTGGCTTAAAACTAGTGGGAGAATCTTTTTCTCCAGCATTGCACCTACAATTGGAAGAGAGCTGTGGATCTCGAGAAAATGATGTGAAGTTACTGAAAAGAGTTGTAGATTATGTAAGTGTCCCCACAGTGTTTAAAATATATCATTGCCTTTTAATTTGAATAATGAATCAAGTGTATATGGGTAGAGTAGCCACCCTAGTTTTTGGGTAAATTGCTGGAATGTCTTGCCGGAATGCCTGCCCTGAAACCCAGTTTCTTTGCTATCCACACGGCTATGCCATCTTCTAACCATTTCTGGCTGCAGATGGTGTATCACTCGATTAAAAAAAAATATGCCTTTGAACTTTGTACTGCAGAAAATGATTATTTCCTATTATGTACTTCAAAGCTCAGGTTAAATTTACGTTTAAAGCAATTGCTTAGGAAACTGATGGTATTTGTGGGAATACAGGCTATCCCTTGAACAGAGTTCTGTTGGTATATTTGAACAGTTGGAGACGTAATTTTCTGTAATATTGCTTGTTTGAGTCCATGGATATGTGAAGAATCTTGTTACATTTTGTACTTAGTATTTTTTCCATCTTTCATACACAGTGGTTCTCTTTCTCTTATGTGAAGGAGGTGGAGGTTGATGAGAATCAAGTATATTTCAGGTGGCAGGTAAACAAGACTACACTAGAGGAAGAGTATAGTTGATTCACCTTTAAAATATATTCAAATATGATTTAATATTCTAATGAAAGACTTTTTGTACAATCTTCAGAACCTCCATTTGGGAAAGAACTAATGATTTTTCTGATACCAAACTCATGAAATCTTGGTGAATGCCTTCAGTGATCGCAAGGATATGTCACCTGAAGTTCGCAGATTGATGACTGCTGTGTTTTCTTTATCTGTAGTGCATGAATAGTGGCATTGCATTAACTCAGGCCTGCTATCTGGAGAAAGAAGAAAAGTGTCTTCCCCCGCCTAGGTTAGTAGAAAGTCAGTATATTGTTACCTTTTATTGGATATGACTCTTTATCTCTCTTTTCATACAATGTTGAGGGTGGTCTGTTAAGTAGCTTAGATTGAATAGTATGTTAGGTGGGAAAAAAACCCTGCTTTTTGAAGTATATTTCCAGTGACTGTTATAGGATGCTAATATGCTGAAATAACTGTATGAAAACTACCCAAATCTTAGATTTCAGCATGATATTGTCCTTGCCTGTTTACCAGGCATATTTCCATGAACTGCATGTCTGCAGGTGAGAAAGAGACCGGTTAAAATTACCCGTTTCTTGTGTGTTTGGAAAAAAAGTAGTCTGACCATTTTTGTTTAGTCATATATCTGGCTGAATTTAAATTCATAATCCTTTCCCTGGAGTTAACAATTTTAATGTGTGTTAAAATTAGTACAAGAAAAGCCTAAAACTAAGGACTGCTCTGTGTTTTTTTTTTTTTTTTCTCCTAGTATTCGAGTAGTGGTAACAGTGGAACAAACAGAACAAGAACTGGACAAGGCTGCATCACTTATTAGGGAAGCTGCACAGTCTGTACTGAATTAGACTGCTGTTTTGGATACCTGTTTTCCTCAAATTATCAAGACACATTGTTTTACACTGTATAGCGTCTTGGCTTCCACTTCAGATATTCAAGTTCGTCCACTGATGGCACTGAAGCCGGACTGAGTAACAAGATTGTTCCAGAATAGTACAAATGCAGTGAGGGAAAGAATGCTGAATTTCGGAATTGGTGAATGACACAGGGTATTTACAACTTCAAACTCTACCATTTAGTAGCTCTCCTTAAAATGTAATATCGAAATCGCACACAAGTTCTTATAAGTTTCATCTTAAAAAGCCTTAAATATATTTTCTCACACCATTGGATGTTTTCAAAAATATGTGTAAATGTTCATTTTTTCCCCAAAAAACATTTAAAATGAATAATTTTCCCTGAATTGTCTCAGAATATGGGAACTGAAATAGATTTCAGGGATTTTTCTTTTTCCCCAAAAGGAAAATAGCTTTTTCCTCATACTGCCGAAAGGGAAAGA